CCGGGCTGCCGCCGGCTCCCCCTCCCCTCTGTACCTCCAGCCGACCTGAGCTCCTCCGCCCAGTGGCTCAAAGCCTGTGGTTTTATTTGACCGGGCGGCGTGGGTCTGTATACAATAAATAACAAGAATATAGGTGCTGTGCCCTAATCGCGGCTGGAGGCAGGGATGGGGCAAGACATCGGCCGGACCTTTGGCTTGAAGCTGGACAGGGGGACTGCAGGGCCCCCAACCTTGGGCGGCGGGCGCCCCGCGGCTGGCGGCCGGGAATGGCACTCCCTCAGAGCTCCACGTGCGCGTCGCGGTAGGCCCGGTCCAGGGCCCACTCTGGCTGCGAGTCGGCGCCACCTTCGCGGGCCAGGCGCGCCATCTCCTGCTGGAACAGCGCCTGCCGCGCTCTGCTGGGGTCCACATTGATCCAGTTGTTGGCGATCCACTTAGTGCCACGAGTGACCAGGCAGCCCCCGTGCAGCGAGTAGTCGTCCACGTCGCCCACCCAACCTAGGAGAGGAGAATAGTGTGAGCAAGGGAGGGGCGCAGAGGGAAACTAGGCTGGGCTGACCAAAGCCTGGCCTCATACGTAGCCCAAGGACACAGCAAGGGCGGGCCCAGCTGTGCACACCTTCGGTGGCAAACATCTGGCCCCAAGGCCACCTTGGGGGCTCAGCATCTCTCACCAACTAATGGTTGGCCAACACCACTGGCCCTCTGACACCAGCTCTTGTTGCCAAGCCTGTCCAGAGCCCTTCCCAGCCTTGGTTGGTCAGGGATGTGTCTCCAATCTCAGAGAGCTGGAAGGCTAGGGCATCAGGGAATCACAAAGGTGGAGAAAACCCAGGAGGCTGCACAGGTGCAGGCCACCGAAGCCACTGCAGATGGTTTGGGGGAGGCACTAGGGGCAGAAAACCATTTGTAGGATGGCCAGAAACAGCCCACCAGGGTGGCAGTTGGGGCTGGGTAAAGGCAAGCTTCCCTCAGGAGGCACCGCTAACTTGGCCAAAGGCCCTCACCTTGTCCATCAGGTAGATAGTTGTACCAGAACACTGCTGTGCCCTGCTGGGGTTTGACACGAAGATTCCCCTTGTCACAGTGCCTCCGAGTGTCACGGAGGTCAACATCATCCTGAATCAGGCTCTGTGGGCAGCAGGGTAGTGAGGTTTTCAAGCTGCCCCCACTGTGTGGCCAGGCGCCAAGGCCAGGTAGCCAGAGGGAAATCAGGTGTTCCCAGGGGACCACTTGGGCTCTCATCCCAGGTCTGGAGGGGAATGGACCATGCTTGCCCAAGGCCCTGCCAACCCACCCAAGTAACAGCCTGGTTGGCTCTTACCATTTCATCGTAGGTTCTGTTGTCTGCTACAGGGAAGACAGTCTCTCCCCCACCGGTGACATTGTTCAAATAAAACAGCACTGTCATGTAGCTGTAAGGCAGAGGGGCCATTGAGCATATCCTCAGCTGTGGATGCTCCCAGGGGCTTACCTGTGGGCAGGATAAGCTGCCCAGGTTCCCAAGGGCAAGAGGGGTAGGCTGGGATCATTGACAACAGGACAGGTCAGTACCAAGATGTCCCTAGCCCATTCTTCCCACAAACCTAGTCTCTTCCTGTGTGTCACAAAGGTTTTTGCGGCCAAGGTCACAGGTGCACTTAAATTACATGGCCCTGACCAAGGGCCAGCTGGGAAAGATAGGTAGCAGAAGCAGCAAGATCATGCAGAAATCCTGGTTGTGACTACAAGGGGCTGAGCCAGAGCAGCCACATGAGGAGAGACCTGCTTCCATGCCTTGGCAGAGGAGGGGGACACAGCTTTAAAGGGAGAAGCGGAGGCCTCCAGCAGTGGAGGCAGGAATCAACACCCAGGGAGCGGGGAGAAAGCTGGGGTTCTAGCCTTGCCCGGCCCCTTGCCTCAGAGCCCCAGGGACAAGTTTCAGTGACTGTGGGTACCTCGGATATGCCACTGAGACAAGATGGCCACCCTTTTCCTGACATTTGGTAAACAACCTGGGGGGCAGAGGTAGGAGTATCCTTGACCAGTATGGCACAGTGCTCTCCTGGCCCCATGCCAAGGGCATGTCCACAGAGCAGGGCTGTGCTTATGTTATGGGTATGTCTGGTCTGGGAGTTGGAGGCAGCCACCAGGTGGGAGGTACTTGCCGGCAGGAGGTCTCGAAGGGTACAGACTCGTTGGCTACCAGCTTGGTATGGGAGCAGATGGTCTCTGGGTACACAGGCCCACTGTCCACATGGGCATGGTAGTGGCCTCCCTCTCCATATCGCACAACCTGCATGGGCTCGCTGAGCTCCACGATCTCAGGTGACAGGCGGGTGAGGCGCAGCACCCTGGTGGGCAGCAGGCATTCAACTTGGCAGCCTCATGCAAGGTGGCACCCTGAAGGAGCTGGCCAATGGGGACCCTGGGCCTGCCACAGGCTCTGCCCCTGCCCACCTCCCCTGGAAGCCCCTTATGCCACCCCAGGCTGGCCCTGAAGGAACAGGAAGAGGTTACTCATGATGAGCCATTCTCCCTGGATGCCAGAGACACCCACTGGGTGGGAAGGTGAGATTTCTACTAAATTTGTGGGGGACACTCCCTCCAGGAAGAAGGTTATCTAAAACCCCTGGCTGCTCAGGAGCAGGGGGTTCTGTGGACAGAGATAAGAGGTCATTTCTCTAATTAGCAGAAAACAAACATTAAATCTATTTCTAATCCCAAATGTACATTGTTTGCCCACAGGTAGGGCTAATTTGCCTTTCGATGGGTCCCAATCCTGGTCTAACAAGTGCAACTTAATCCTGAGTTGGCTTATCAATTCCATCCCCTCCACCCCAGCCAGGGACTTTTGTGGGGGCCCTGCACTGCCTTCCGCCCCAGCACCAGGGAGTACAGCCCCAGGTGCTCACCTCTGGCGGATGGCGCGCATGACATGGTGGGCACCTTCCCCCTGGTAGAGCCACGTGTGGTGGCTGTTCCGTACCAGCTCACTGGACTCCGCCTTGTGTCTCCTCATGTACTTGTGGAAATCCCGAAGGTCCATGTTAGAGAACTCCTGTAGGCTCAGCACTCCTGCATAGGGCACCCATCAAGGCCTACTAAACCCACGTGGGGAGGCTGCAGTGGCAGGCTACACCTTCCTATCTGCCCTGGGGGTCCATGTGCACTTGTCCCCCACCCTGGACTCCTGGGTCAGATGAACCTGGTTTCTGTCACAGGAAGACCTAAAGAAGTTCCTTTCCTCTGTGCAAGCCCTGATTTGGCCCCCAAAAGGAAGAAGCCCACCCCCTTAGACTGGCCAGAGCAGGGTCTCCAAAGGAAGGTTGAACTACATAGCCAGGATCCTAGGGCACAGACTGTCCTTGGCCCTCCAGCCTGGCTCTACAGAGTGTGGTGGCCACCCTTGGTCCTGTAAAGGGTGAAGAAAGAGAGCAGCCAGTGCTGGCTTTTGTCCAGGGCCTGCCACACTATCGGATGTAAGCTGAGGCTGGGTCCCAGACGTTTCTTTATGATCTCAGGTCCCATCCAGAGTGGAATATACCTGGTCAGTCCTGCCTGCTGGGTTACCAGCTTACCTCAGCATAGAAAGCCGGAGCACGCTCCCAATGAGAGTGCTCCCCCATTCCTGCCCAGTCCACAAAGCAGGGGCTGCACCCTCGGGGGTTCTGGGACAGTAGCTGCTGTCTTTGCTCCATATTATCCTGATTGACCCAAGGGAGACACTTTCCACCCTTTGGTCCAGACTTCTCCGAGAATGGGGGACACTCAAGGGCTCTGAACCTGTCGCCAGCTCTGTACACAGGGGCAGTAGCAGCATGATGCCGCTCAGGCCTCAGGTTCCGGACGGATTCTTCACTCCGTTCACCAGCCACAAGCCATCCTTCCAAGTCCTATTTGACTGTTGTATCTTCCTCACTTGGTCATGAACTTGGGCATGAGAGTGATGATTATGCTTTGGAAACCTCCTGAGGGTTATTGCTATGACATCTGCCCTGCCCACACCTGCCCCTAGAAGTTTGAATGATTCCAGGTGGGCAAGGCAGGCAAGGGAGACCTTGGTCAGGCTAAGGAGGACAGACCTTGTGCCTGGCTGGAGAGACGCAGATGGAGCAGGGTGAACAGCCAAGCTCAAGTTGGCCGCACCCTCTCTGCTCTCGCTCTACCCACTCTGCCCTCTGCCAGCCAGTAACCCCACCTCCTGGACCTCAGACTCTGAGTGATGAGGTGGAAAGGGTCTCTAAGAACTGCCGTCTAGACTGTCCCCAAGGGGTATGGGACTGCTCTCTAGACTGTCCCAGGGGTGAGGGCAAGGCAGGACCACTTCCTTGCCTCTGGCTACTCTAGAAGCTGGGTATGGAGGCAACCTGGCTGTGGGAACAGGAGGTTCCCAGGGACAGAACTGTGGCAAGGTATGAGCTCACCATCACCATCGGGATCAGCCTTGATCGCAGAGTACATTTCCTGAATGTTCTCTGGAGTCATCCACCGTCCATTTCCCAGGCGAGTCTGGGCCAGGACCTGAAGCACAAGATGGTCCCTTGATGGGGTGGCCCCAATGATGGAGAGCCACTAGAGCACAGAAAGCCACCCAGTTATTGCTATAGGACTAAGGGTTCAGGTGACAGGGCATGGGCAAGGACACAGGACAAGCCTAAAGTCCCTTTGAGATGATGGTAGGTAGAGAGGTTCAGTGGCATCTAGGAAGGCCAGGAAGATAGTCAAGAGCCCTGAGGGCCAGGGACATTCTGTAAAGGCAAGGGACCCCACAACTCGCCAAGACCTCTCTCAGAAGCCTGGGTGAGGGGCATTAAGAGGGATGCAGACTCCTGGCCACCTCAGAATTGCCACTCTATGCACCATGAATTCTGTGGGGCTCCCAGCCATGGCAGCCAGGAATCCAGATCACAGGTGGCAACAAATGCCATCACCCCCAGGTAGATTCTCCTGCAATCTTCTGGGATTCCCGGGGCAGCAAGGAACTCTCCAGGGAAGAAGGGGCACCCTGGGCCTGGGCATTCTGAATGAGGTGGCATCTGACTCGGGGTCAGGGCTGAGCTGGACGAGTGATCTGGCCACCAGAAAAACAACTCTGTACCCCCACCCCCCCCTCCCCCATGCCTACTCCAGTCCCAACCTCGCGGAGCTGCAGGCGACCATCTCGGTTCTGGTCCAGCAGCTGGAAGAGGTCCAGCTGGCTGACCTGCAGTGTGCCCATTGCCTCCTCGTACTCCTCAGTGGGCAGGATCTGGCTGCGCTGTAGCCCCTTCATCTGTGCCAGGTGGACAATGAGCCGACACTCCTCGTCACTCAGGAAGCCAGGGGTTTCTGCCAGAAGAGGAGGTGGGTGAGGCTGAGGTCTAGGCAGGGCGCAGGGGAACCTGGCACCTTCCTCTTTACAGGGTTCCTGGGGTACTCCCTGGTGGTCGCCAGGTCAGGAGAACTTCACACACACCTTTACATCCGCTTTGGACTCTGACCCCAAGGTCAGGTTGGCCAGCCAGGGTGGCCAGCATTGGAACGTGGGGCCTCTCTCTTTGACGCTGAGAGCACACGTTTTCCAGGGGAGTCCCGGGACGCAAGCTGGAGCTAAGCTGGGCAGGGGTTAAAGGCCAGAGAGTGAACCTGAAGGGCAGACGGTTCACCTCCACTTCTTACTTGGTATATATTTTTTAAATGGAGGGATGGTGGCTGGTTTTTGCTTTCATTTTTACTTTTCAGCATTATTCAAATAAAAACAAAGAGCAAGACATTCAGCACTCTAGGCCCATCCTTGCCCTCCATTCTGCTGCACAAGTGGGTGCTGACCATCTGGCCGGGGCAGAGCTGCCCAGTGCTGAGAGGGCAGGCTGGGGCTTGGCCCCAGTGGCTGCACGGCCTCACGCCGGCCCCACAAGCAGCTTGGTGGAGCTGGAACATGGGCTTCCCAGCTGGGGAGCCCCCCTCTCAGTGACCCCAGGCACTTCCAGAACAGGAGCTTGGGCCCTGTCTCATTCCCTTGATTCTGGGAGAGAGGACTTCCTGAGTCAAAGGACAAGAAGCCCACAAAGGGAACTGATTGGAGGAAGGACTACCTCCGCCACCACCGGGACCCCTCAGAACCCCTCAGAAGCCCTTCTACTTCTCTGGGCTATACTCCCAGGATGAAGTTCCAGTCATTGCCAAGAGGAAGGGAAACGGCCACTCAGCCAGGATTTGAGTGTTCTTTTGTTTTTTAATATTTTTATTGATTTTGTTTAGAGAGGGGGGGAGAGGGAGAGAGAGCTAGAAACATCAGTGGGAGAGAAACATCGATTGGCTGCCTCCCGCAACTCCCCCATGGGGATCAAGCCCACCCCCCAGGCACAAGCCCCAACTGGGAATCGAACCAGCGACCTCTTGGTGCATGGGAGGACGCTCACCCAACCAAGCCACATCAGCCGGGCTCGAGTGGGTTTTTTTTGTTTAGTTGTTTTTGTTTTTGTAATCCTCACCTGAGGATAGAGTATATTTTTTCCATTGCTTTTCAATTTTTTACAAAATATTTTTATTGATTTCAGAGAGAGGAAGGGAGAGGGAGAGAGAGAAACATCAATGATGAGTCATTGATCAGCTGCCTCCTACACGCCCCCTGCTGGGGATGGAGCCCACAACTCGGTCATGTGCCCTGACGGGGAATTGAACCTCAATCTCCTGCATCACAGGTCCATGCTCAACTGCTGAGCCACGCTGGCCGGGCTCCATTGCTCTTCAGAGACAGTGGAAGGGGGTGGAGAGAGAGAACCTCAATGTGAGAGACACATTGATAGGTTGCCTCCTGCACGTGCTCCGACCAGGGGCCAGGAATGGAGCCCGCAACCGAGGTACATATCCTTGGCCAGAATTAAACCTATGACCCTTCAGTCCACAGGCTGACTCTCTAACCAATGAGCAAAACTGGCTAGGGCTTGAGTGGTTTTTAATAGTAATCACAGCAGATCACACTCAGGTAGCAGACTCTGTCCAGTTCTAGGTAGTTCATCAAGACCTTAGTCTGTAGTTATCCTTGAAAGCCTCATTACTTTGCCCTTCTTAACCACGAGGAACCCCAAGCACAGAGATATCACCCCGATGAGGTCAAAAGGGCCACCAGGCTGTCGTACTCCAGACGCCATGCTCATGACTATATTCAGCTTCCATGATAGGTGACTCAGAAGTGATGACACTGGGTACAGGACAAAGACCGCCACCCCAGCAAACCCAGAAAAGGTGTGAGGCAGCCACTGGGG